CCTGTGGATTTCTAGTTTCTGTTTCTCAGAGGACCCCTTTCAATGGGTTTGCTATGCCTCAAATTTGAGAGAACTTTAATTTTGGGGAACTTTAACACCCATAAGGACATAAAAGATTCAACAACAACAAAAGAGTTTTTATCTTCGATTTGAACCAGCTAGTGGACTGTCCTATACCTAAAAAAAGGCCATACTCTAGATCGATTGAACCCTCTGATTTCTCTTATTTTATTGGTTCTTCCTTGAGCGTTTTTTCTCCATCTCATGCATTGGAGGATCAAGTTCTAATGTTAAATTCTGTTCTCTCGTCTGGCCTGGACTTATTTGCACCTTTGAAATCTGACTGGTTTCCTTCGGTCGTTCTTCTCCCTGGTATAATGAGAATCTGCGTGTTATGAAGGCTTTGTGCCGTACAATGGAGCGTAGGTGGCGTATGTCTAGCTTGACTGTCTTTCACCAGGCCTGGAAGGAACATTTACTTGAATATAGGACCCAAATTGCATCGGCAAGGTCTGCTTATTTTGCACAAATCATTGACAACAATCACAATAACCCAAGACAATAGTTTAATTCTATTAACAAACTACTCAAATGTAACAGTTCTTCAACTGTTCCAGTTTCAACTCACCTCTGAAATAAGTTTCTTGATTTTTTCAGCTCCAAGATTGATAATATTCATAAATGTATTATCTCTGCTCTTCCTTCATCTCTTCCTCCCTCAATCAATTCTGAATTTTCCGATATACTTCCCTCAAATTTTTCCACATTCTCTTTGTAATGAGGTTTCAAAAATCTTTATACCATAAAACCATAGTTGATCCTGTACCAACTTGTCTGTTCCAATCATGTTTTGCTATTTCATGTCCTGTTGTACTGAGTATATGTTTTATTAACAAAGTTCGGGAGGAGCACGTTCAGATAATTAAACTTAATTAAACATGTGGAGCACATTCAGGTAATCAAGCCTAATTAGACACGATTGGAGCACACTCCCAATCAATGAGATAACAGGTATATATACAGCAAACTTACCTCAGTTCATGTCTAAACTCCAGCTCTTCCCATCCAACGATGAATCTAACTTCTCACCGGATCCTCAGTCGCAATCAGCTGACACAAGGACCACTCCTTCTCCGCCCAACATCTCAACCATGCCTGGGCTTCTCCACGCGGCCGCCTGCCTGCCCGAACAGCTACACGCTCGTCTAGATGCAGAGGCCAGCCCTCGCCTCCACCAGCGAGACATCACAATCCCTCCCCGGCTTCTTCCCATCACTCGGCCGTCCCAACAATTCCACCTATTGGGAAGTGGACATTTTAGGATTGAGGCAAGCGCTGATCAATTTTGGATGTTCAGTTCTCGCGAAGGATGAACAAAGCGGAACTACATGTCCTATCATTGCAATCAACTAACCTCACTCCGAAGTCCATGCTGGCCCCCAAATGGACCATTAGGCAAAGCAAAGCTCAGGATTACCTTGCTCGACAACACCACTATCTCAGCATACCAAATCTAGTTCTCTTCCAGCATCAAACCACAGCGGCAGGTCTTCAGCAAGCTTGGGCCACTCCCCAGTTCCTTCTGCTGTCAGACCTCGCCAGCAGGCTGCAGCTTTGGTTGAAACCAGGCCTCCCGACTTCCCCTCAGCATATCAGAACATGGCTCCTGCTGTTTAGAATAATCCTTTTTTCTTTTCAGTGGCCTCCAGCACCTTTTCAGTGGCCTCCAGCACCAGATGCTAGCGTGAGACTGCCTCCGATAGCAATGGAGGCCCAATCATTTCAACCTACTTTTGTAACTAATCTCTGTCCTTTTCAGTGGCCTGGACTGCGTAGACTGCTCAGATCTCTCTACGCTGAGTAGTTAATGACAGCCAGCCAACTAATGCATAGAGCTTGCAGTGGTGGGTGTTGTAAGGGACATTAGTAACAAAGTGTATAACGCTATGGTAGATCACGTCCAGTTTTTTCAGCAAAGAGTATGGCAGTTCTATAGATGACATCGCCAAAATCGAACATTGGAATAATAGTATTTTTCGCAAAAGCAAGTTTGGCACCATAAGTAAAAGAGGCCCTGTTGCGGAAAAGAAAGCCAATTCTAGATTTAATTTTAGAACTTAGTTTATTAATGTGCGGCTGGAAGGAAAGAGAACTGTCTAACAAAACACCTAGGTATTTATATGTATCAACAAATTCTAACTCGGACCCATCCAGCGTGGTGATGTAAGGTAGACAAGCAGGTGTTGGCAGAGAACGGTTGAAAAGCATACACTTAGTTTTACCAGAATTTAACAACAACTGAAGGTTTTGGAAGGAATATTGAATAGTATTGAAACTCTCCTGTAGATTTTTGAGCACAGTATTGCTCTTACGAGACCCTCCATCACTCCACCTGCCCTTATGAGTCCCTCCATCTCTCCACCTGCCCTTACGAGACCCTCTATTGCTCCACCTGCCCTTACAAGACCCTCCATCTCTCCACCTGCCCTTACGAGTCCCTCTATCGCTCCACTTGCCCTTATGAGTCCCTCCATCTCTCCACTTGCCCTTATGAGTCCCTCCATCTCTCCATCTACCCTTATGAGTCCCTCCATCTCTCCAACTGCCCTTACGAGACCCTCTATCACTCCACCTGCCCTTACGAGACCCTCAATCTCTCCACCTGCCCTTACGAGACCCTCCATCGCTCTACCTGCCTTTATGAGTCCCTCCATCTCTCCACCTGCCCTTATGAGTCCCTCCATCACTCCACCTGCCCTTACGAGACCCTCCATCTCTCCACCTGCCCTTACGAGACTCTCTATCGCTCCACCTGCCCTTACGAGTCTCTCCATCTCTCCACCTGCTCTTATGAGTCCCTCCATCTCTCCACCTGCCCTTATGAGTCCCTCCATCCCTCCACTTGCCCTTACGAGACCCTCTATCGCTCCACCTGCCCTTACGAGACCCTCTATCGCTCCACCTGCTCTTATGAGTCCCTCCATCTCTCCACCTGCCCTTATGAGTCCCTCCATCTCTCCACCTGACCTTATGAGTCCCTCCATCACTCCACCTGCCCTTATGAGACCCTCCATCTCTCCAACTGCCCTTACAAGACCCTCTATCACTCCACCTGCCCTTACAAGTCCCTCCATCTTTTCACCTGCCTCTACGAGACCCTCCATCACTCCGCCTGCCCTTACGAGACCCTCCATCTCTCCACCTGCCCTTACGAGACCCTCAATCACTCCACCTGCCCTTACGAGACCCTCCATCTCTCCACCTGCCCTTACGAGACCCTCTATCTCTGACCCTCTATCTCTCAGTAGGATGTCGTGTTCAGCGCCTGTAAATACATGCTTGTAGTTTGAATAAAGCTTTGTTTCATGTGTTGTTGACTTGTGTATGCATGTGTTTATTGTGATGGTTACTTTTATTTGTTCTTTTACTCATTTATTCATGTTTCTTATTGTTGACACTGCGAGAGAGAGAGAGAGAGAGAGAGGGAGTAGGCCTACATTAAATCTTATTGAATAATATAAGCTTATATTATATTTTATTGTCACACTTTAATGGGAAAATGAATTTATCAAATTAACAAATCAAACACAAACATGTAATGTTTTTATTTGTACACATAACATTGAAACTCTGTGGTGTGTTGTGGTTGCTTCATCTGCCAGAGCTTCTGGCTGCTTTATTTTAAATAAGCACCAGATGGCGCTGTTCTCGACACTCTCGAAGCTTTGAATCTTTTCCCGGAACAGTCAGGGGAATATGGAATGCCAAAGCTGACTTAATTAAAAATAAATATAGACATAAATAAATATACGAAGAAATGTAAAAAAGCAAAAATACAAAAATAAATACATAATTAAATATACAAAGAAATGTAAAAAAGTACAAATAAATGAGTATTTATATTTTTATTTCCATATTTATGTATAATTGTATTTTTTCACACATTTATTTATTTATTTATTTATTTATTTCTACATTTATTCATTTATTTATTTCCACTTTTATTTATTTCCACATTCATTTATGTATTTATGTTTTTATGTCTACATTTATTTATTTTCACATTTATTTATTTCTACATTTATTTATTTCCACATTTAATTATTTCCACATTTATTTATTCCAACATTTCTTCCTCCGTATTCTAATGAGGGCGGCGTGTTTTAACGCAGACATCAGCAATCGACCTCAGAATGGCAGTGCTGAAGCTTTGAGGCCACAGTGACACCTTGTGGTGTGTGACCAAACGAAACGCAAGAGCTGTCCAGGCAATATCACATTTTAAGTCATGTGTATGAGTAGGGGGAGGCTGCAGACCTGGAGCCGGCAGTTTTACGCCCCTGACAGTTTTACGCCCCAACAGTTTTAAGCCCCTGTTGTTCCTGATGCGTCCAGTAGGGGGAGACTACACTAATGACGTTATATGAGCCTAGTCCTATTTCATTACAGATCTATAGCATCAGACCTTCTAGAAGCGACATGAATTGAGGTATTTTAAATAATCTGCTAAAGTTATTGTTGTTGATTGAATTGTAATGATGCAATATTGATTGTTTCTAAACGATAAGCTAAGATTCGATGTCAATTCAAAAGATGGGTCTATAATTTAAATTGGGTCTATAACCTTGATGTCATTTTTCAAAACTCTAGACACAAAACTCAAAACGGTTATCACTTGTAATACAGGCTGTCTAATGTTCAAAACATTGCAAAGTGCATTCACATCTTTAAAGAAATCTTGCACTTGCACAATCATTGGTTCAAAAAACAAATTTACTGTGAAATAGGCCTAAACAAAACTATCACCCACACACAAGCAACCGTTAGTTTCACTGTCATTTTTCGTACAATCATTAAATGTTGTAGAAGAAAATAGGTGATACAGGTTTCATTATGGCACATGTACAGTAAACACATCTCTGTAAAGTAGGCTGCAGTAGTAGGAATAATACACACATAGAAGAATCATTCAACAAAGTGTGTGATATATTGATGCAAAACGTCTCGGTTACGTATGTAACCCTCGTTCCCTGAGTAGGGAACGGAGACGTTACGTCAGAAGTGACGGAGATTGGGGGTTTCGCATAGAAAGCCAATCCTCTTCGAGTATTAAAACACGAGCCAATGGCATGCAATGCCTTGGGGCTGCGGAAATTTGCATAGCGTACTCCGCCCTACTCCGTGAGTATAAAAGGAGGAAGTGAACGCAACCGCAGTATGTCTTCGCTGAGGAGCCAAGACTGAACTCGGCCTCTACCCAGCGATACAGCAGAAGTGGCAGGGAGACGTAACGTCTCCGTTCCCTACTCAGGGAACGAGGGTTACATACGTAACCGAGACGTTCCCTATCGTAGTCACTTCGAGTTACGTCAGAAGTGACGGAGATTGGGGGTCTGTGCCATCACGCCATCTTCAAGCTGTCTTCCAGTGCCCTGCGAAAGACTGAACCCCCGAGCCTTACCTCTTTTTTTTTTTTTTTTTTTTTTTTTTTTTTGGGGATCCGACTTTGACACAGGATTACCAAGGTACACTGGGAAACATATCCCGAAGGGGACATGCTACCAGCTGCCTACCGAAGGGAGGACTTAAGAATACACATATGGCCACATAGGAACGTATATGGAACACTGGAGTACCAACCGCAGGTGGCTACTGATTTAAACTCCAGGGGTGGCAGATGGCTTGCCAAGGGAAGACACATGCTCAGAGAGGCTTACAGTGGATAATACACATGAGACGGTTACCATGGGGAACCGTGCGCATGGAGGCACCTAGCTAGCATCCAGAGCAACGCAGTGGTGCCCGCATCGTCGGTGCTGGAGGACTCAAGACTTCAATGGAAGAACTGAGGAAATATCGCACTTATCCAGTCCGGGGAGTGGAGTGGCGAGCAAGCGAAGACACCTGAGCGGATCCAGAACTGGCCGAAACGAGTACGTGAGAGGATACCGGCTCAATTCGCAGATTATAGAATCTGGCGAAGGTGTTGGGTGTCGCCCAGCCTGCAGCTCTGCAGATGTCTGTTAGCGAGGCGCCGTGCGCTAAAGCCCAAGAGGAGGCTACACTCCGAGTGGAATGGGCCGTCACACCAAGGGGGCACGGAAGGCCTTGCTGCTGGTAAGACAAAGCAATGGCATCCACTATCCAGTGGGACAGCCGTTGCTTTGAGAGAGCCCTTCCCTTCTGGCTCCCCCCATGACAGACAAAGAGCTGGTCTGAGGTCCTGAAACACTGCGTTCTGTCGACATAGGTGCGGAGAGCACGTACCGGACAGAGCAGTGCCAAGGCTGGGTCTGCCTCCTCCAGGGGCAGCGCTTGCAGGTTCACCACCAGGTCCCGGAGGGGAGTGGTAGGAACCTTGGGCATATATCCAGGCCGGGGTCTCAGGAATACGTGAGAGTAAGCCGGCCCGAACTCCAGGCACACTTCGTCAACAGAGAGTGCGTGCAGGTCCCTTACTCTCCTGATGGATACCAATGCAATCAGGAGTGCTGTCACATAGGACAGGGCAAAAACTCTACCGACTGCAAAGGCTCCAGGGGAGGCCTCTGCAGAGCACCCAGGTCTACTGAGAGGTCCCCAGAGGGCAGGAGGGGAGGGAGGCGGATTTAGCCCCCTCACTCCCCTCAGGAACCTGATGACCAGGTCATGCTTCCCATAGACTTACCTTTCACTGCATCATGAGACGCGGCAATGGCCGCGACATAATCCAAAGGGTGGAGGGCGACAGCCTGCGCTCCAACCCCTCTTGCAGGAAGGAAGCATGACTCCGATCGAACATCTCCGGGGGTCTTCTCAGCGAGAAGAACACCAATTGACGAAGAGGTTTCACTTCAACGCATAAAGGTGTCACGTGGACGACGCTCTTGCGGAAGTGATGGTTGCCGCCACCGCAGGTGGCAGCGAACTCAAACCTGCCTCGTCCCGTCCTGGAGCCACACGTGCAGCCTCCAAGATCGGGACGAGGGTGCCACAGAGTGCCCCGTCTCTGAGAGAGTAGGTCCGGTCTCAGAGGAATAGGCCAAGGAGGTGCTGTCGCGAGGAGCAAGAGTTCGGAGAACCACGTCTTGGTGGGCCAGTAGGGGGCTACCAGCAAGACCTGCTCCTCGTCCTCCTTGATCTTGCACAACACCCGTGCAAGGAGGCTCACTGGGGGAACGCACACTTGCGTGGGCCCCGTGGCCAGCTGTGCGCCAGCGCATCCGAGCCGAGAGAGCCGCGGGTCAGAGAAAACTGGGCGCAGTGGGACGAGTCCCGAGAGGCGAACAGGTCTAACTGTGCCTCCCCGAACTGGTCCCAAATCAGCTGGACCGACTGGGGATGGAGTCGCCATTCGCCGGAGATGGGACGGGCCCGGGACAGCTCGCGGCTGCCCGATTCCGGTCTCCAGGAATGTAACTGCACGAAGGGACCTCAGGTGCTTCTGACTCCATATCAAGAGGTGGCGGGCGAGCTGCGACAACCGGCGCGAGCGTAGACCCCCCCTGGTGGTTGATGTACGCTACTGCCGTAGTGTTGTCTGAGCGGACAAGCACATGCTGGCCCTAGAGCACGCTCGGAAGCGGTGCCGGGCGAGCCGTACTGCCAACAGCTCGAGGCAATTGATGTGCATGAGGCGCTGGGCTCCTGTCCAGGAACCGGCGGCTGCATGCCCATTGCACATGGCACCCCAACCCGTGGTAGACGCATCCGTGGAGACAACGAGATGCCTGGAAACTCGCTGAATAGGGACCCTGTCCGTAAAAAGCTGAGGTTCGACCACGGGAAGAAGGATCGGCGGCACGTCGGAGTCACTGGAACTCGGAGCGAGCCGCGATGCCATGCCCACCTCGGGACTCGATCGCGAAGCCACAGCTGAAGCGGTCTCATATGAAGCAAACCGAGCGGCGTTGCCGCGGCCGCGGATGCCATATGCCCCAGGAGCCTCTGAAAAGTTTCAGTGGAACCGCACTCTTGCCCTCGAACTGTCGAAGACAAGCCAGCAGTGAGTGCGCGCGCTCGTTCGTGAGCTGCGCGGACATGGCGACCGAGTCTATCTCCATGCCGAGAAAAGAGATCCTCTGCACGGGGCAAAGTTTGCTCTTTTTCCGGTTGACCCGAAGGCCCAGACGGGCTAGGTGCCGTAGCACCAGGTCTCTGTGTTCGCAAACCTGAGCTCGAGAGTGTGCTAGTAACAGCCAGTCGTCGAGATAGTTCAGGATGCGAACCCCGTGTTCGCGAAGGGGAACAAGGGCTGCCTCGACGATCTTCGTGAAGACGCGAGGGGACAGAGCTAACCCGAATGGGAGAACGGCGTACTGGTATGCCTGGCCCTCGAAGGCAAACCGAAGAAACGGTCTGTGTCGAGGGAGAATGGAGACATGGAAGTACGCGTCCTTCAGGTCGATCGCTGCAAACCAATCCTGATACCGAACACATTCGAAAATGCGTTTGGCCGTGAGCATTTTGAACGGTAGTCGATGGAGAGAACGGTTCAAAATGCGCAGGTCCAGGATCGGTCGTAACCCACCGGTCTTTCTTGGGGACAATGAAGTAGGGGCTGTAAAGCCCGGACCTCACCTCGGCTGGAGGGACCGTCTCGATTGCACCCTTCGCCAGCAGGGTCGCAATCTCCGCTCTCAAGACTGGGGCATTGCCACCAACCATCGTGGAGCGAACTCCCCTGAAGCGGGGAAGAGACCGTGCGAACTGAATCGCGTAGCCGAATCCGATCGTTCTGATGACCCAGCGGGAACCCCGGGAAGCGCTAGCCAGGCTTCCAGGAAGTGAGCCAACGGGGTCATGCGAACCACAGACGTCCCCCCGGAGGGGCAGCGAGGCGGGTCGACCGGCATGCGTGCAGGAGTTACCCCGTCCGGATGCACCGTCGAAACCCGCTCCCCGACAGAAGAGACCAGGGAAGGCAGAGCGTTCCACGGGGGTCTGTTCTGCCGGGGGTCTGGCGACAGAGGGGGAAGGGATTGGCGTAGCCCGGGGACGACACACGCACCCTTCCGCGCCCTCCGAGACAGAGAGGAATGAACGGGGCGACGCACTGGACGTCGTGCGCGCTCATTCCAGTCTGTGTGCTCAATGACAGTGTCAGCTTTCCCTCAACCAGCTCAGGGAGCTAGCTAGAACAAAAGATTCTCCACCGGCCCTCCACCGGGGAAGGAGGGGCCCTGCCACCGCCTCCTGAGAAAAACCATGACACTATCACTGAGCGGCCCGCCTCAGGAACATCGCTTCGCCTGGCATCTAGCGGGGCACGCGGCCTGAGGGGGGGCTCTTTTCTTGGGACGCTTACCTGTGGCCTCCTCCGCGACGCGAACCGGCTGAAGGCTGCTGCTGGGGCCGCGTGGGAGGGAAGGGAGCCGCAGGGGGGCGTCCTCGGCGGCGAGCTGGCGGAGGCGTCCGAGCCGACGGCTGGTTGGAGGCAGCAGCTGGCCGTCGGGGCAGAGAAACCGCCTTCGTCTGCTCCTAGGCGGTCGAGAAGTGCTGGGCAAAGTCCTGGACCGCACCGCCGAACATTATGATGCTCCTGGACCACAGCGGTGGGCATCACCTGACCAAGGGAGCGAGCGACCGCCTCCGTGACCCGTTTAAGGACAAGGTAGGCGACAGGCTCGCAGCTCGCTTGGTCCGTCACCTCCTCGTGCACATTCCTGAGCAGCTAGCTTTGTAGGTGCTCATCATATGCAGGGCGGAGGCTGCCTGTCCCGCCGCTCTACAGAATCGCGCCGCCATAGACGACGAGAACCCATAGGCTTTGGAGGGGCATCTGAGAGCAACCGCCGGTTGACCGGGGGAGCCCCAGCGTACCCACAGACAGCCGCATCGCCGAGGGGAGGAAGGGCGGGGAACTAAGCACGCTTTTTTTTTTTTTTTTTTTTTTTATTTATTTTTTTATTTATTTTTTAGTGCGTGTCAGTTCCGCATGCAACTCGGGGAAAAAAGGAAATTGGGGTTGGCCGTGGCCGTAAGGCGGCAGCGTTACCCAAAAACCAATTATTCAGCCGCGAGAGATCGGGGAGGGGCGGAGTTCC